CCTAGCTGAGCAGAGTGCCAAGAGGCTCTGAGAAGACACAGAATTTCTTTGCAGACTAACAGAAAGGTCATGCACCACTTTCCTGGAGTTTGATGATGCCAAACAGTCACCAACCAGATTGAAGTAAGGGTTCTCCCAGAGGTAGGAAAAGAAGGAAACACATAGTGGGACTGTGGGGTGGAGAGGGGGGCTGGGGACACATTATCCAAGCTGGCCAATGCCTTTTTGCCAATTCTGTGTCCCTTCACTCATGAAACCCACCTTGGCATCCTGAGCTCACTTAGGTGTTTCTTTTTTCTTTCTTTCTTTCTTTCTTTCTTTCTTTCTTTCTTTTTTTTTTTTTTTTTGGTACCAGGTTGAACTCAGGATCCTGTGCATGCCAGGCAAGCGTTTATTCTACTGAGCTAGCTCCCCGGGCCCAGGTGTTTCTTGTTGAAAATGTGTGGCTCTTAAGAGACAGATGGAGATGCGCAGATTGTATTTTTTTAACTATATATTTCTCATACTGAATAAGTGTTATGCATTCATAAAATTCCCTGGGCTGGCTTATATATACTTTTCCCTGTGGGTTAGAAGCTGGCACTAAACAAAATATTTTTGCGTTATGTAGTGGGTTAAAAAGTAGACAATGAGGGCTGGGGAGATAGCTCAGAGGTCTAAGTGTCTGCCTGGCAAATACAGGGACCAGGGTTCGATCCCTGGCACCATATGCTGCTATGCCACGCTGGCTCTGCCTCCCAGTGTACCTAGCCAGCCACCAAAACCAGGTGTGGTGACACATACCTGTAATCCCAGCACTGGGGAGGCTGAGACAGGAGTCTCACTATGAGTCAGCTACTTAGCAAGACCCTGTACCAAATAAATTAAAAGATTTTTAAACAATAGTTAATGATTCACTCAGATGCATCTCATTCCTTTCTAGTCTTTGGGATAGTGCTGTGCTGTAGTGCACACAGTAATTACAGAGTGATTCAGCGGAGAGGGGATCTTGGTGTTGTTATTGTTCAGTCATTTACAGTATGCGTTTGATCAACAAGTATTTGTTGAGCTCCAGTTCCAGCCGGGACCTGCCTCAGTAACAGTAGGGGCATTCCCTGCTGCTGCTGGCTTTGGTCTTAACCTATAGGAATGGTAACCATTTAAGTACTAGTTATGTAAGTTCATGCAAGTGGATGCTGGGCATTAGAGAAAGCTGTGACAGAGTCGAAGCACTGATAATGCCCTTACTTGGTGCCTCATTTCATTTAATCCACTCAGGAATCCTTGGAGTAAAGGGAGCTTTGCCCCATGTTTATAGCCCTTGAAACTACTACTACTCAGAACTAAATGGCCTCTCCAAGGTCATCATCCAGTCCATAAAGGGCTTGAATTTGGATCCAGAACACCAACTGCACAAAACCACAGCAAATTCTAAAATCCTATCCTTTAAGAAATATTTTCACTGTTCTAGAATGGTAGGAACAATTACTGCCACCACGCCACTTTAATTAGTTTTGGGCCAAGAGTTTTGCCAGCTCCTGCCCTTGCCCAAGGCAGGGCTTGTTTTGATTTCATAGCGACCATCTGAAGTCTACCAAGGGTGAGGAAAGAACTTGCTTTCCTTTACTAAGGCTTGACTGGAAGCCAGACAGCAAGCTCAGTCTGAGAAAGCGCTTACTTGCTGTGGCATGGAAATTTAAAGAATGAAAATAGAACAAATTAACCTCTTTGTTAGCAGTTGTAAATTATGCAACTATTTATGAAGTATTTCCAGTACGCCTGGTGCAGGGAAGCTGGCTAGCTCCTGGTCTAGGGATTTCGCCAGGCAATGGGAGAAACCAAGCAGGTGTTTTTATTATTGATTCCTTCTGACAAGGGGCATCCGCAGGAGAGGATTGGTCACCTGAGATGGATGAATGGAGCAGCAGGGCTACGAGAACAGCAGAAAGATTACACAGGTGGAGAAGAGGGGAAAAGATTCTGCCCTGAGAGTGCATGCAGTGGAAGGTCAGAGTCTAAGCGTTTAAGGAATTCCAGGGACTGGAATGAGATTGTGGAGGACAGATGGGGTGGGTGTGGTGGGCGGGTGGCCAGGGTAAAGCTGGCGGTGAACTCCTGGGAAGGGCATTGTAGCCTTGTTGAGAATTTTGAACCCTTGGCAGGCACTGAGAAAGGCTTCCCTGAGTTGTACAGGTGCTGTCTAAAATCATGGCTTTCCTTCACAGAGCTGACAAGGGGTGCTTCCCAATGGGGACAGTTTTCCCTATGTGCTATGTATTATTAATGGATTCCCTGCAATTTCTGCGTATTTATAATGCTGACTGCAGCCAGACCAGCCAACTGCGATAAAGGGTGCCATATCTCTGGTTTTGTATGAGTCGTTCAATTTTCACTCATTTATGTATTGAACCAGAGAAAACGCCCCCCACCCCTTCGGCAGTGCCACAGATTGTCACCCTGTGTTGTAGGTAAAAAGCCGCAATGTGCCACCCTAGAAATGGTGCAGGTCGGCTTCCTCCAGGGAGATGGCTCCTGAGTTTACTGCTTACTTTTTGTGCCTGCTTCTCCAGCTGTTCGGGGTGGCGGCTTCTGCGCTGTACCCAGCCGGAGGACGTGCCAACAGTCCTAGTGTTTCCTCATTGCCAATATGAACGGGGTGGAGCTGTCTAGATGGGAGGCCCCAAGTGTCACCAGGGAAAAACAGACAATGTGACAGCAAGGAGGCCAACACCTCCAGGCACCAACTCCTACTCGGGCATCAGAGCCCCTCCCAACAAGCCTCTCCCAACTACAGCAGCCCTAGCTGAGCTTGGCTCCCATTCCAGGAGGGGGCACCAGTTAGTCCCTGAAGCGTATGCAAGGGTTGGAAGGATTTGTTCCAAAAATAAAGCAGAACACCCTATTACTTGCCCCCCCAGCGGGTCTCAGTGAGGCCCCGTCCTCAAGCTCCTGATGAAAGGTCTTGGCCGGCCCTTCCCAAGCTGTCTAGGCCCAGGGTTTCACAACCTCAGCTGCAGGGCGGGCCCTTCCCCTCCCCCTTCTCTTTCCCCCTCCCCCTCCCGGTCCCCTCCTTCCACCTGACAGGGACCATAAATAACCGAGGCTCCCGGAGTTCCCGACCGCCAGGAACAAAGTTGAGAGCCTGTCCCGGCCGCGCCCGCCAGGGCCCGGCCGCTGCTTTGTCTGCTGCGGCTTGTGCTCCACCTGGGCTGGCTGCGGCTCCATTCATTCCGCGGAGGTCACCTCCGGGTCCAGGGGCTCCTCGGTCCCCGCCCTCGGGCGGTCTCCGTTACCGGGAGGACGGGGGCCTGGTGTCAAGTTTCCGAAAGGCTACACCGGCGTCCTCCTATTTACATACAAATAACTGCGGTTTGCATTTGTGTCCGCGCCAGCCTAGCCGCGTCCCTAATCCGATCGGAGGCGCTTTGCGAGGGCGTCTGCCAGCGGTCCGGAGGCTCCCCGTGGCAGTTAGGTGGTGCTAGATTTGTTTTCCTTCCTTCGCTCTGAAATTTAAAATATCTTGGCGCGCTCGGAGTGAAGACGATGGGCTGCTGCTCGCCGGCCTGCGAGGACCCCCGGGGGCCGAGGCCACGCCGCAGCCGCGCGGAAGAGGGGCAGCGCTCTCGGCTGGCTTGAAGCCGGTGTCGTCCCTGCCTGCGGATTTCTGGAAGCGCCGGGAAGGCGTCGCGTCGGCCGCCGGCTGGAGATGGCGTTCTCGCAGAGTAAGCGCTCGCTCCAAGTTGTGCTGGGCTCGTGCTGGCTTTGTTTCTGGGCGGGTGGGTGCGCCAGGCGCCCAGCTGTACGCGGTGACTCGAAATAATCTCTCAGTCCTCGGCAGTAGTAGAAAGTTGAGCTGTTTAGTTCTTACTTTTGCAAAAAACAGCAGTTGACGGGTATTTTTAGACTTGATTGGTAGTTTGAAGCCGAGCTCTGGTGGTTTCCTGAGTTGAAATGAATGGAAATTGTGAAGGGAACTGAACGAAGAAATGGGAAAAAATAGCCTGGGCGTGTGGACCGCTCACCTTGTGAGTGACAGACGCATTTTTTGAGGTCTTTTTCAGTCAGCTAAGTTTGTGTCCACAAAGAAGATGAGACTCATTAGAAAACAGAGCCTGCCTGTGATGGAAGGAACTTTTCCGCAGCCTGGGCCACACTTTGAGAACGGTGGGAAGCATCCCAGAGGGCAGAGACAGCTGGAAAACCTGCCCTGTCACTCTCGGAATGTGGCTTTCGCGGTGAGGTCACGTTAGGCGTCTGCAGCTAGTAAAAGTGGTTCGTGCAGCTTAACCCTTCCGTGGTCAGGTCCAGAGCTCTTCCCGCAGTGCCCCTTCCAAGCAGTGGACATCCCCGTGCATCTCTGTGGAGGACAGGGCGGCCTTCCAGGTAGATTGAAAGCGCGGACGGCACTGGGGCTGTGGGGTGAGTGCACGCGCAGACAGGTTCAGAGGAGGTGCAGCACCCATACTTCCAGGGTTCTCCGTCGAGGGACTCAAGCTCACGTTTAGACTTTCCTAGTTTTTTGCATAAATCCCCAACTGAAATCCGGTGTGCGCAAGAAAAACTTTTTTAAAAAAAAAAAAGTGTGTTCGCTTCCCACATGTAACTTTAGCGCTGTAGTGCAGAGTTATCGCTAATTTTGTGCTCCGTGTCCATTCAGACAAGCCACCCTCATCGCAGGTAAGGCAGAGAAAGGCGGACTAACCTTAAAGGATCCTCCTAGTACCTTAAGAGACAAGATGGAGCTAGAGGTGATATCTAACAGCTGGTGCTTACTACAAGAGCTGGATATGAACTTCATTTACTCTGGACATCGCATACTAACCTCTCCTTGTACTTTTTTTTTTTTTTTTTTTTTTTTCTGGCAGAACCGAGAATTGAACTCAAGCCCTTGTGCTTGCCAGACATCCTTGTACTTTCTAAGTAGCAGCCACAAACACCCAGGGCAGAGGGGCGGATGGCAGGAGATAACAGGTGGTGACGGAAGGGGGCTTCTGATCCTGGCTTGCTCTGTGCCTCTGCAGGTGAAGATGCAGTGACAGGGGACACAGACAAGTACCTGGGACCGCAGGACCTGAAGGAGCTGGGGGACGACTCCCTGCCTGCTGAGGGCTACGTGGGCTTCAGTCTGGGAGCTCGCTCTGCAAGGTACTTTGGTGGCTTTTTTTCATAGTTAATATAAAACAACCATGGTTTGTCATAAGCCAACACCATTTTAATTTTCCACATTGTCCACAATGTGCTCTTTGGATGAGGGTGTGAACTTGGTGAACTGCTTTCAGCAAAGCTGTCACATGCTCTGCTACTTTCTGGCATGGTTTCCCGTCTGTAATTTCATGTGATCAAACATGTTCATTGTTTTTCGTTCCCCCACTTACAGTCCTACCTTAAGTGTAGAGACAACTGAGGTCACTGGCCGAAGTGGGGGGACCAATAGGGTCACATGTCTGCAGACTCAAGTTTGCTCTCTATCAAAAGAAAATCTTATTTGTGAATAAGAAATACGAATGTGGACTGCTTGTTGTTCTTTATCATGTAAGGAGTAAATTCATGATTGAGACTTAGAAGAAGGAATCCTTGAAAAGTTACACTGATTGAAATGGCCTGCCGAGCACAGAAATCTCTTATGCAACTGTTCCCTTGCTTTGTGTGCAAAAGGACCTGTTAGCGTCCCTGTAGCCTACAGAAATGAATGGCGGTGAAGCCATGGCTCACAGCTGAAGCGTGAGACTCTTGCACACCACAAACCTCGACTCAGACTTTTTCACACTGCTTGAAAGAAACAAAACCTTGTCCTGAATTTGGAAGACTTCTTTTTTCCTGGTGTGGATTAACAGCTTGTTTGCTGACAGTGGAGTTATTTTAAAGCTAATAATTAAACCTTCCAAGCCAGAACCCTGAGGACATTTTCCTATAGCTTAAGAATCTGCTGTAAAAGTTTCATTGTCTAATAGTAATGGTCCTTCCCACAAAGTAAACCTTGGGGTTTATTCTTAGTGAGGTTGCTATGGCCAGTTTAGATACTGAATTGATTTTTCTTTGAGTTAGTCTTTTTAAATAGAATTCTGAACCTCATAGACTTAGAACTTTTTCTTTACAATTATGCCGGTGAAAGGCCCTAAAATCTCACTGCAGCAGGTGTCAGCAACAAGAGGGGGAAACCCTGGAAAGAGGCAATGCTTCAGGTAATCATAGAGGGAGACGTTACCACTGAAAGCCCACAGATCTGTAATGGCAGTACAGAGTCTTTATATCTTATTTATACCTTATTCAATATTCTGAGCTTTCTTTTTTTTTTGGCTGAACTGGGGATCAGGCCCTTGCGCTTGTCAGACAAGCACTTATTCCACTGAGCCATCTCCCCAGCCCCTATTCTGAGCTTTCATAATTAGCTGGTTCTCATCCTCCAATGTGGGCGCTGTTCATTACCATGTAAGAAACTCTAGCAGCTGACCGCTAGTGAGATATAAAGCGAGAGGATTGCCTGCCTTAATTTTTCTTCAATTATCCCTGGGCTGTCATACTTCCCATTTTGATTACATCATTATTTGTTGCTATTATCTGTGAGTCTTTTTTTGTTTTGACATTAGCAACTTATGTTATGCTCAGAGGCAACCATGATTTTTTAAAACTTTTATAAGACCAATATTTTAAAGCACTTTGTTAAAGTATTATCAAGTAAACTATTCTGAGTGTAACATTTTAAAAGGAACATGTTAAATGTGTAACTCATTCAACCATAATATTTTTTTTTCTTTTTTCCCTGATTGTTTTTTGTGCATTTTATTTCTCCTGGTGTTTTTTTCTTTTCTTTTCTTTTCTAAACCTGCTTTAAAAATAGTCCCAAGATAAGGTAAGAAGACCTGGTGCTTTGGTGACACTTCTCCACCCTTCTCCCACTCATGGTCTCCCATCTTTGTTTTCCTCAGCGTTGTGCTGTGCCGTGCCGTGCCGTGCCGTGCCGTGCTGTGCCGTGCCGTGCCGTGCCATGCTGCACTGTGCTGTGCTGCGCTGTGTTGTGCTGCGCTGTGCGGTTTTATTTTTCTGCTTAGCTTTAGAAAATCAGCTTTGTGACAAAGAAAATTAGCAAGAAACTAAAATATATACAAAAAAATGTATATATGTGTATATATATACATATATATTAATGCCCAAGTAACTGAATAATAAAGAACTTCTCTCTCTCAAACTTTGTACAGTGCATGAAGTATCTGAAAAAAACTTCCCTAGGCTTAAAGAATAAGTCTTGATTCCTAGTGCTGCTTGCTGGATGCTATTCTCAACAGTGCTAGGTGTGCCGGTATAACTTGAGGTTTTGAGGCATGTTTTCCTAACATTTCCTGTATTTAACACTTAGGGTATATTGATGGCTACAAATAATAGCACTGGCATTAGATAAAAGCTATTTGATGGTTTTGAGATCCCCAAGCCAATAATCAATAGGTTTAGTACCTGAAAGTACTTAGATGTGTTAAAAATTCACAGTAAGGGGCTGAGGAGATAGCTCCGTGGTCTAAGCACCCGCCCAGTAAGCACAGGGACCCAAGTTCAATCCCCAGTTCTACAGGTAATGCTGGTCCTGCACCAAGCCGGCCACTGAAACCAGGCATAGTGGTACACACATGTAATCCTATCAGTGGGGAAGCTGAGACAGGAGGATCACTATGAGTCTGAGCTTCATAGCAAGACCCTGTACCAAAGAAATAAATAAATTTTTAAAAAGAGAATTCAGAGTAAAACTCTTGGGTTTAATTGTTTCCTTCTGTCTCATGAAAGTTGGTCTAGAATCACCAGGAATAGAAACTTTTGATACCCAGTAAAATGCAGATGACTTTAAGCCTTCCTGGTGGCAGCCAATTCTGACCTCTGTTTTGTAGTTGCCACTCATACATATATTAAAAGGAGAGGATATTGAAAAGTATCAGCAGACCTTAGTTATATTTAAAAATTGAAATTAAAATAAATACGTAACCTCTCTTACAAGTTTTAAGCATTTCTCTACATATACAATAAAGCTACCTCACACAAGGGCTAACATCTCCTGCAGTGAGAATCATAGCTCGAAGAAAAGAATGTTCCCAGGGTGCACCGAGGCAGCCACCAAGATTGGGCATGGTAGCGCATGCCTATAATCCCAGCACTGGGGAGGCTGAGACAGGAGGATCCCTACAATTCTGAGTGCATAGCAAGACCCTGTACCAAAGAGAAAGAGATAGAGAGAGAATATAAGTTTTGGATACAGGGAGAAAACCCCTACAGGGCCTCTCAAATCACCCCAGGGGAGCTGGAGTTCTCAGAAGCCACCCTGTACAGCTACTTAAATCAAATTAATTAAATGAAATGTCCCTCTAGCCACACTTCCAGGGCCAAGTAGCCGCATATGGCTGGGGCAGTGACAGTGGACAACACATATTTAGCACATTTTGCAGTGTACTCCAGGCTCTGTTGGGCAGTGTTGAGCAGGAAAGAATTGCTGCCCTTAGGAAGCTTCAGCTGTGTTGGAGAGAAGAGATGCAACTAGGAGGAGGAGGAGGAGGAGGAGGAGAGGAGGGCAAGTATAACGACCTGCGCAGTCCACTCCAACCTGCCTTCTGACTACACTGAGTAATAACTGTAGAGTGGTGGTTATTTCTGAATCAGGCAAAGATCAGCTTGCGATTCTGGTGAAAGCCAGGGCACCACTCCCGGAAGTACAAACATAGCCCCTGTGTAGACTCTGAGAACATTGCCCATGATATCAGAGCCTCTGTATCTTGATCTGAGAATATCTACTTTTAGGTCATCTTTAGAATACTAAAGACACCAGGGGAAGCACATTGTACTGGGCAAAGCAAGGAGTCATGCCTCAGTTCCCATACTTTTCCTTGCTTGTTTCCATGTCAGGCCCACCTAAGGCCAATGCCAAGGTCAGACTTATCCAGCAGGTAAGGTAGGATAAGCAGCAGTTACATCCAGTCAGTTACAGAAAGCAGTGGATAAAGAAAAAGTCCTTATCCCTACACAGAAAGGCCACCAAAACAAGAGGGCCTGCAGTGCTAGTGGGGGACACCACATTGTGGAGAAGCCCATTCTAAACTTCAGCTGAGTGAGTAGCTTTATACTCTGCAGCTGTCTTCCAAGGACAAAAAGGAACCCTCAGACCTCATTAGAAAGCAGAGGGGAGGGAAAGGCAGCTCGTGACAGCCTTCCGGTGAGGCAGGGAGACAGAAGCTCCAGGCTTCCGGCTCCTGGGGGCCCAGGGTATTAGTCTGAGACTCAGTTGATCGAGTTTCTGGTCCTCATGGTATTCAGCTGGATCTCTGCAGGGCCCTTGGGGTGGCTTCCTTCAGCCCCTCATTCTGTGGGCTTTGAGTTAGAGGTCACAGTGATGACAGACACTTCAGAGCATCTGGCAGAGGCACTCTGGGACATTCAGGAGCTACATGGAGGAAAAGTTATCAAGGTTGAGAGGGGGAACAGGAGCAGGGGAATCTACAGGAGTAGATCAAAGGAGGAGAGGTGGGATGTTTGCAGGAAAGAGAACAACCATCCGGAAATTCAATGCTTCTTTGAGGCTGGAAGGTGGCGAGCACATACAAATGTACTTGAATACTTTTTCTTTCATGTATCGCATGAGTAGCAACTGCAAACCAGAGTTCTGCATCACTTATACCCAGCAGTAGTTCTCAAGGGTTTGTAAACAGGCCAAGTCACAGCAGACATGATTCTATTCCATAGTGCAAGACAAGCAGACAGGGGCCTAAGAGAAGACTGATAGCGATCTGATCCACCACCCAAAAATCTCGAATGATCAATTATCTGGAGGTTCTGCCCAATATGATGTGGTTCAGATTCATAGTCGAACATCCAAAGTTATTATGCATTTCATTTTCACATGTATTGAATACCAGTTGGCCTAATACTAAATAAAAGCTGATCATCAGATTGTGTGTACTTAAGAAATTATGAAGAATTTTATTTTTGATCATGTCCTTTCAAGAACAATGCTTGTTGATATTTTGAGCCATCTTGCCTGTGTAGAAAGTTGCATGCATTAATTTTCTTTTATTCATCTCATCATCATCCACCACTGTTGAATGGTTAACTGTAAATACAACAGCCTCCGCTCCTTCAGTTCGGATAGGTCTTACACCTTGAACAGAAGCTCCTATGCCCGGGACAGCATGATGATAGAAGAGCTTCTCGTGCCATCCAAAGAGCAGGTAAACATTCTTCTTATTCTCACAAACTCTTTGGTAGCTGAACTTTAATCTGTAGGATTGAATTAAGCTCTATGTCATATAACAAAAAATATGCATTCCTATATTTGTTTTTGTATTTGTAAGTCTTCTGGCGCTAGCTAGTTAAAAGAGTCACTTATGCTATCATCAGAAATATTATTTTCTTCTGCAGTACAGTTCCTCAAATTCAAAGGGGAACTTAGAAAGTGTTGTTTTTAAAGTATGGATAATTTTCTCATCTCTAGATCAAATCTATTTCCAACAATGTTAGGGAGAGTTTCTGATAATTGGTAGCTGAGTTGCTGACATTGTTCACATGGATGTTTTATGTTGTGTGCATGTTGGGATTTGCTAGGATTGTTTATAACAAGAAGTTCTAGGTTATGTTGGTGATAGCCTTGATCACTAACCTCAATGTTGCCTCTCATGGGTCTTCTCAAGGCGTGCTACTATTTTGTGTTCTAGGATCTCTGCTAGATTTATTGGGTCTTTGGGTAATTTCTTCTTTCCAATAATGTGGTTGGGTAGATACTGGATTGACATAAGCAGTTGAGCAGCCTAACCGTGCTTCATGGGTGCTCAGGATTTCTGGATATACACAGCAGCTGGTTTTAAAAGTGCAAATCAGTGATCTGATAGGGGAGGAAACTGTTCAGAGCGTAAGACTAATGTGAGCGCGGCTTGTGATAAGTGAACAGTGTTAATTATTAGTGAAATGGTGTGACATTTACTTATTTACTGTGCAGTGAAGGGGAGTTGACGCTAATGAGCAAGTGATGTCACCCTAGCCCGGGTTAGGGGTTAGGCAGTGGGCTGTCAGAGTGCTCTCGCTTGTGTCTGGAGATGTGCGTGTACGCATGTGGATTGTAATTGACTAAAACCTACAGTGAGCATTATCTGCTATTCTAGGGCATTCTTAGTGAACATGTATTACAGAGGTGAGTACAGGAACTTCTCAGTGTTTGGTCAGATCAAAAAAAAAAACTACTTTGCAAAACGAGGTGTTCATATGAGAGAAAAAGACCTTCTCTCAAATATGAAGCTAGGCCTACGAGCAAGAGGTTCTGCCAGGTACTGCTTGAGATTTTCTTTTCTTTCTTTTTTTTTTTTTTTTTTTTTTTTGGAACTGGGGATTGAACTCAGGCTCTTACACTTGCCAGGCAAGCTCTTATCCTACTGAGCTATCTCCCCAGCCCCTGCTTGAGATTTTCGAAGAATCCTCATCTCAGTTTGGAAACTCTGCTCATGTTCCCCACTGAAATGAGATGTGAGTGGGTGCATTGGTCAACCTTACATGAAAAAAAAAAAATGGCTGTTGTTCTCCATGGCCTGCAGAAACAGCACAAAGTTACCAGTGACAGGAGAATCCTGGGTGTCAGTGCCCGTTTCTCTTCCAATGAGTCTGTGCTGAGGGACCCCTGCTCGGATGTCATTATGGTTTATGTTTCTTAATAGATACTCATTTTAGAGCAAGGGCCTGAAATTGGTCTGACCGTCTGCACCATCACCGTGACCTGTAGCGTCACCATCACCATCAGAGTTACTCAGCTCCCAACCTCTACACACAAGCATTAATGCAAAATATGAATGTGTGGCTACAGGGCTGCGCACTGGCATCCGAATGTTCTCATGCATTACGTGAGTTATTACCAAGACGTTCTGACATGCGCGGCAAGGAAGCAGTTCAGAACTGAGGATCTGGGAAAAGAAGGAAAAGACCAGGATAGTTTTTGAGGTCAAACTGATGTTTTTGGAGGCAGGTTGTTACCTCTCAATTTCAGAATAATCTGCAGGAAAAATTTCAGAAATATCTTCTGTAGACCCATCAGGAGAGGGAGCATGTAAGTTATCATGAATCTTTTGAAAAATTAAGTTGTTAGCTATAGAAATAGGGAGATTGGGCCAGCCAGATAGCTCAGCAGACTAAAGAGCCTGCTTAGGCAGGTGCAGGGATGGGGTTTGATCCCCACGGTGCTGTGCCAGCCCCGCCCCGGAGCATGCTGAGAAGGCGACTGAGGCTGGGCGAGGTGGCGCACCCCTATAATCCCAGCGCTTGGGAGGCTGAAAACAGGAGAATCACTACAAGTCTGATCTGTGTAGAGACTCTATACTAAATACATAAGAAAAGAAGAAATGGGGAGGTGTTTTCTTTAATGAGTACAGAGTGCCCATGAGCCGTGGGACTTCCTATGGACTGCCATGTGTAGCGAACATGCACACGGCTCAGAGCCACCTGAGCTCTTATCCATGAGAAGTTGGCAAGAATTTGGAAAACAAATGTGAGAATCATAAACATATTTTATAATCAACTGGGAAATTTTGAAAATGTATTGGAGATATATATAGAGAGAGAATATATATATATATATTATATAATATGTAATATATATCTGGGGAGATAGCTCAGTGGTCTAAGTACCTGCCTGCCAAGCACAAGGATCCAGGTTTAATCCAAGGTACTACATTCCATGCCAACCCTATAACCCTGGGCATACCATGCTGGCTCCAAAAGAGTACGTGGTGGCACACACCTGTAATTCCAATGCTGGGGAGGCTGAGGCAGGAGGATCACTATGAGTCCAAATTGTGTAGTGAGACACTGTACCAAATAAGTAAATAAAGATTTAAAAACTAAAAAAATTAAAAGACCAAGTTCTGGCTCTCTCTTACTTCCTGTCCCAGCATATGACTTCCTTTCTCTCTCTTGCATACACTCCCCCATGATGCCAAGTAAATATATAAATGATATTTAATAAGTATATATATATATATATATATATATATATATAGAGAGAGAGAGAGAGAGAATACATACAGATACACACATGCATATGCATGCACATACATACATATATAGTGGACTCTTGAGTTAAGGCCAGCCTCACATATGAACTACTTACATTATGACTGGAATTTTAGGTTTAAGTCTCCCCACCCCGTCTTGAGTTGCGTCCTGAACGCCAGCCACCTGTGTACTGGTCCAGAGAGGCTCGCAGTGCCAGAGAAGCACGTGGAAGCGTCCGTCTGAGCCCAGATGGCATCCGTGCTCGTGATTCCCACCAGTGCTTTCCATGATCACTGTGATTACTGCCATCAAAGTCATCCCCAGAAGGCTAGAGGAGAAGCTGAAGGAGGAAGGGAAAGTAAAGAAAGCCATCGCAATTGAAAAGGAGATCGTGGAGAAATAGGAGGGTGGTGTTGGTGTGGCTGGCCCCGCTAGCGTATGCGGCACGTGCAGATCCACCGCCTCGTAATTGTACACAGAAAAGACCCACATGAGGAAGCTGGTGTTGCCACAAGTGCTGCTCAGATTGTAAGCTGCAGCAGGGAGAGGACGTAGAAGGCTGTGACTGGATAAGCGAAAGACAGACGGCAGCGTATAGCCTCTCCGAGTTTATAGTTCATGAGAAAGCTTGGGCTGTAAGCGCAGATCTTGTAAAGGATAACCTGTCAATGAGTGATAGCAGTTAAACATTTCATTCCAGTAAGGGGTGGTTTCACAATTTCAAAGTGCAAAGTGAGGTCCGTAGCGTAGCTAGGCACAGAGAAGCAACCAGCGCTTACAGAGCACTGCTTAGAATTGCCTACACCACTTTGAAACAAGAGAAATAGATTTTGCTCCCCTCAAGCTTTCAACTATGATGAAGCCAGCCTTATGGAGACAATGCCCAGGAGAACATACGTTACCCAGGAAGAGAACCAAATTCCAGGCCACAGACCCATGAAGAACAGGCTAAACTTAATCGTTTGTGACGATGTGAGCCAGGCCCTCAAGAAAAAGCCTCTCTTGACTTGTCGCTCTGAGACCCCTACAGTGTTCAGAAAACATAAACACATGGAAGGTAGGTGAGGGGTCGTGTGGAGAGCTAACCCAAAAGTCTGGGTCACAAGAGCACTTTTTCCTGAGTGGATCAGGAGGCTTTCTGTCCTGCTGTTAAGAAGTATCGAGCGGGCTCCTCCTCATGGACCATGCTGTGCTCACCCGTGAGAGCTGGGAGAAGAATCAGCTCTCAGCCAAGTGCCTCCCGCCTCACACAACTCTTCTACTGCAGCCCGTGGACCAGCAGGCTATAGCTAACTTTAAGAAGCTACACACCAAGGACCTGTTCCTGCAGTGCTTCAGACGGTCTCAGATGCAGATTTAACCCTTAAAGAGTTCTGGAGGGAACATGCCAGCATCCTTTTTTATGTGGAATTAATTGAGAAGGTCAGTGCAAGTGTCTCTCTAAGGACAGTGGGATCTGACTAGAAGAAAGTGTGGCCTAAAGTTATACAGGAGAGGAACTTGGAGTCTTTGTAGAGGAGGCTGAGGCTTCAACGCGCCCTGTGGTGGATGACACTGTCACTACAGCACAGTTGACAGGCATGGTGATATTAAGGAACTGAAGGGTGTCACTCAGGGGAATTGTCTACAAAGGGACTCCAGCAGCTCTGGCTGAGCTCAGAGAAGGGCCGCTGTGGAGCATTCAGGAGAGGAGGGGGAAGACAGTAATCAGGGCAGCAAAGTTCTTCTGAAATAAAGGAAATCCTGAAAACGTGGAAGGAAATCCTACAAACATTTTTAGAAAAGACCCACCAAGGAAAGGCAAAAGGCCAGTTGTTACATGCACTTGCCCAGTGACAGTGTCATGCCATTCTACAGAACAGCGTTAAAGGCAGAAACAGAGGCCTTACGCCAGCTTTTAGTTCTGAGAAGGCTGAGGCCTGCTGAGCCAGAGGCAGGTCCTGGTGGGCTACAGACTGCCAGGGACAGGAAGGACGCCAGGGAGCCAGGACCCTGATGTCCCCAGGGAAGGGACTCTCCTCCAAGCAGTGACCCCTTGCACTTCATCCTCCCATTCTGCGAGGCAGGGTGTCAACCTGAGTGAGGAGCACAGTATGACATTGTTGTCTCTTTGATAACTTTTGGGTGAATACACTAGGAAAATTATTGGTGTTTCTGATAAATTGTGCACATTATACAACCTTTTTTACTATGAAAA